TAACCAATAAGCTGTAAATTGTCCGGGGCAATCTAGAGGCCCAGAACACTGACAGTACTTAGAAACAACATAGTTAACCAATAAGCTGTAAATTGTCCGGGGCAATCTAGAGGCCCAGAACACTGACAGTACTTAGAAACAACATAGTTAACCATAAATTGTTATCAGTGACTACATCGGGGACCAGAACCTTATCAAAAATGTGTGGGGGGTTCAAATACTGACCGTTCTAGGGACTACAATATATATGAAAAAATATAACATGTTAATGGTTATAAATAAAGACAATAGTCAATTTAATTATAACATGTTAATGGTTATATATAAAGACAACAGTCAATTTAATTATAACATACGGTAACATACAAATACTTTTACACAAAACAAAAAAGTATTAATTCTAAAATCAACAGTCCGTAATTAGATAATTCATGTATAACAGTAGTCAATGCGAATGCTATTTTAGCAAAGCTCTTGTAAACAATAGCCATTGTTTACGTATCTTATAACAATACTTAAAACGTTTCTATAAACAATAGTCAATACTTCTATTTTATATGCATAAATATTGCTCTATGCTTAACAACTATGTATGATTGTCAGTTCTTATATAGATAGTCACTTTATACCTTATATAGAACGTCACTTTATACCTTTTATAAGCAGCTAGCAATACTGATATTTTGTAAAAACAAAAAAGATAATTCTAGTAGCATTAACATACATTTCTCAATTTAAACAATTGTCACTACTTTGTACCACAAACAATGTTAAAAAATACATGTATATTTACAAAATCGAATGTTAAGTTTTACAAGCAATAAACAGTACTTATAGTTTTTGCCATTACATAATTTTTTGATAAACAATTGTAAATATCTCAAATTTCAAAACAAGTCAACACATTGGTTTCATAAAACTAGTCAATACAGGTTTTCTTTTTTTTATAAATAATAATCCATAAATCTGTATTTTTCATAAGCAATAGCAAATAGATACATCCTGTAAACAATAATCATTAATTATGTTTTCACAAAAACATTTAATTGTTCTGTTCTAAAACATGAATATTAGGGATTAAAAATTGCTTCAAAACATTCAATTGGAAACAGTTACCCGATTTGCTTTTTTATTTAACAATGCACTCTTCTTTCAAATCGAAATGACAACGAGGGAACGCTCAATCGTTATTAAACGAAATGGTTATTTTAGCACACAATGGTAGTTGATAACGCAACAGAAGTAGCTGTTTCTTACTAGGAACACATCCTTTGTGATCGACAGCTGATGAATCGTAAGCGTCAAAAACGGCTTATGTCATTTAGTTTCGAAGATGTTAGTATAGTAAATTGAGATTTAACTCTCTACATTGATTCGGTTCAATAGGCAATCTTGTTTGTCCATGGCGACTTAATTATATCTACAGCAAAGCTAGATATATGTTAATAACGACTTGAAAACAAAGCTAGATATATGTTAATGACGACTCGAAGACAAAGCTAGATATATGTTAATAACGACTGGAAGACAGAGCTAGATATATATTAATAACGACTTGAAGACAAAGCTAGATATATGTTGATAACGACTCGAAGACAAAGCTAGATATATATGTTAATAACGGCTCGAAGACAAAGCTAGATATATGTTAATAACGACTCGAAGACAAAGCTAGATATATGTTAATAAGGACTCGAAAACAAAGCTAGATATATGTTAATAACGACTTGAAAACAAAGCTAGATATATGTTAATAACGACTCGAAAACAAAGCTAGATATATGTTAATAACGACTGGAAGACAGAGCTAGATATATATTAATAACGACTTGAAGACAAAGCTAGATATATGTTGATAACGACTCGAAGACAAAGCTAGATATATATGTTAATAACGGCTCGAAGACAAAGCTAGATATATGTTAATAACGACTCGAAGACAAAGCTAGATATATGTTAATAAGGACTCGAAAACAAAGCTAGATATATGTTAATAACGACTTGAAAACAAAGCTAGATATATGTTAATAACGACTCGAAAACAAAGCTAGATATATGTTAATAACGACTNAAGCTAGATATATGTTAATAACGACTCGAAGACAAAGCTAGATATATGTTAATAACGACTCGAAGACAAAGCTAGATAAATGTTGATAACGACTCGAAAACAAAGCTAGATATATGTTAATAACGACATGAAAACAAAGCTAGATATATGTTCTTAACGACTCGAAGACAAAGCTAGATATATGTTATTAACGACTCGAAGACAAAGCTAGATAAATAATAATAACGACTCGAAGACAAAGCTAGATATATGTTAATAACGACATGAAAACAAAGCTAGATATATGTTATTAACGACTCGAAGACAAAGCTAGATAAATGATAATAACGATTTGAAGACAAAGCTAGATAGATGTTAATAACGACTAGAAGACAAAGCTAGATAGATGTTAATAACGACTTGAAAACAAAGCTAGATAAATGTTAATAAAGATTTGAAGACAAAGCTAGATACAAATAATATCGACTCGAAGACAAAGCTAGATAAAAATAATAACGACTCGAAAACAAAGCTAGATATGTGTTAATAGCGACTGGAAGACAGAGCTAGACTAGATATATGTTAATGACGACTCGAAGACAAAAATAGATATATGTTAATGACGACTCGAAGACAAAACGAGATAAATAATAATAACGACTCGAAGACGAAGCTAGATACAAATAATACCGACTCGAAGACAAAACTAGATAAATGTTAATAACGATTTGAAGACAAAGCTAGATAGATGTTAATAACGACTCGAAGATAAAGCTAGATATATGCTAATAACGACTGGAAGACCGAGCTAGATATATGTTCTTAACGACTCGAAGAAAAAGCTAGATATATGTGAATAACGACTCGAAGAAAAAGCTAGATATATGCTAATAACGACTGGAAGACAAAGCTAGATACAAATAATATCGACTCGAAGACAAAACTAGATAAATGTTAATAACAACTTGAAGACAAAGCTCGATATATGTTAATAACAACTTGAAGACAAAGCTCGATATATGTTAATAACGGCGTGAAAACAAAGCTAGATAAAAATAATAACGACTCAAAGACAAAGCTAGATACAAATAATACCGACTCGAAGACAAAGCTAGATATATGTTAATAACGACTCGAAGACAAAGCTAGATACAAATAATAACGACTCGAAGACAAAGCTAGATAAATGTTAATAACGATTTGAAGACAAAGCTAGATATATGTTAATAACGACTCGAAGACAAAGCTAGATATATGTTAATAACGACTTGAAGACAAAGCTAGATATATGTTAATAACGACTCGAAGACAAAGCTAGATATATGTTAATAACGACTGGAAGACAGAGCTAGATAAATGTTAATAACGACTGGAAGACAAAGCTAGATATATATTAATAACGACTTGAAGACAAAGCCAGATATATGTTAATAACGACTCGAAGACAAAGCTAGATATATGTTAATAACGACTCGAAGAAGGACTTTCTGTTAATTGTCTTTTGGTCCACTGACTGCAGATGGTGACTGCATGAATTTATTGATTTGGACTGAGTAGGATTGGGGTTGTGGAGGATAGGACAAATGTCCAACATGAGGTCATGTATGGCCACTGACCAGCTCCGGTAATGGGTCTGTCTCAACAGGCCAGTCCTCTGATTTATAGACAGTGTCTCCTGATCAGCGGAGCCAAACAAAACACACCACTGTAACAAATTACCTTCTAAAAACAAATAAAGTATCCTCATCTTCGTCTGCATCTCTGACCTTCAGCTGTCTGACCCTGAGATGTGAGTAGTTATTGGCCCGATTGGTGTACATTTCACAACCAATCGGTGGTTTGACCCATGTAATTGGTATCTATAATACACTGAGAGCACTGAAGGTGATGTAGAACAACGATAAGGCGCTCATAGAAATGCTTGGGCCTCATTTTATCATTCAATTTATCTACAAAAATCGAATAATCAAACTCTGGTTTCAGCCAAGTCATTCTTAGCCTTATGTATCGTCCTAAATTGTGCTGGGTTCTTGAGTGAGTTCTGAACCAGGACTAGCCTGACCTAAGCATGGTGCAAATAGAGGTTGACTAGGACTGACCTGGCTTACATAAAATTATGGTCAACCATGCTCATGGCAGATTCACAGTGGTCCTATGCTTACGTCATTTGTCTTAAGATGTAAAATGTATGTCAAATGAATGAGAACTGAAAATTTATCAAATATGATTTATTGTAAAGGCATCTATAGGTGGAGTTGTACTATAAGCTATAATAGGTATTACAGGAAAGTATTACTCTATAACTATAATAAGTATCTACATGTAGAGTTTTACTCTATACTATAATTGGTATCTACAGGTAGAGCTTTACTCTATAACTATAATAGGTATCTACATGTAGAACTTTACTCTATACTATAATAGGTATCTACATGTAGAGTTTTACTCTATACTATAATAGGTATCTACATGTAGAGCTTTACTCTATACTATAATAGGTATCTACATGTAGAGTTTTACTATATACTATAATAGGTATCTACATGTAGAGCTTTACTCTATACTATAATAGGTATTTACATGTAGAGTTTTACTCTTTACTATAATAGGTATCTACATGTAGAGTTTTACTCTATACTATAATAGGTATTTACCTGGGAGCACTGAAGGTGATGTAGAACAACGATAAGGCGCTCATAGAAATGCTTGGGCCTCATTTTATCATTCAATTTATCTACAAAAATCGAATAATCAAACTCTGGTTTCAGCCAAGTCATTCTTAGCCTTATGTATCGTCCTAAATTGTGCTGGGTTCTTGAGTGAGTTCTGAACCAGGACTAGCCTGACCTAAGCATGGTGCAAATAGAGGTTGACTAGGACTGACCTGGCTTACATAAAATTATGGTCAACCATGCTCATGGCAGATTCACAGTGGTCCTATGCTTACGTCATTTGTCTTAAGATGTAAAATGTATGTCAAATGAATGAGAACTGAAAATTTATCAAATATGATTTATTGTAAAGGCATCTATAGGTGGAGTTGTACTATAAGCTATAATAGGTATTACAGGAAAGTATTACTCTATAACTATAATAAGTATCTACATGTAGAGTTTTACTCTATACTATAATTGGTATCTACATGTAGAGCTTTACTCTATAACTATAATAGGTATCTACATGTAGAGTTTTACTCTATACTATAATAGGTATTTACATGTAGAGTTTTACTCTATACTATAATAGGTATCTACAGGTGGCGTTTTACTCTATTACTATAATAGGTATTTACATGTAGAGTTTTACTCTATACTATAATAGGTATTTACATGTAGAGTTTTACTCTATACTATAATAGGTATCTACAGGTGGCGTTTTACTCTATAACTATAATAGGTATTTACATGTAGAGTTTTACTCTATACTATAATAGGTATCTACAGGTGGAGTTTTACTCTATACTATAATAGGTATCTACATGTAGAGCTTTACTCTATACTATAATAGGTATCTGCATGTAGAGTTTTACTCTATAACTATAATAGGTATCTACAGTAGAGTTTTACTCTATACTATAATAGGTATCTACATGTAAAGTTTTACTCTATAAATATAATAGGTATCTACATGTAGAGTTTTACTCTATACTATGATAGGTATCTACAGGTGAGTTTTACTCTATAACTATAATAGGTAACTACATGTAGAGTTTTACTCTATACTATAAAAGGCATCTACATGTAGAGCTTTACTCTATAACTATAATAGGTATCTACAGGTAGAGTTTTACTCTATACTATAATAGGTATTTACATGTGGAACTTTACTCTATACTATAATAGGTATCTACATGTAGAGTTTTACTCTATACTATAATAGGTATCTACATGTGGCGTTTTACTCTATAACTATAATAGGTATTTACATGTAGAGTTTTACTCTATACTATAATAGGTATCTACATGTAGAACTTTACTCTATAACTATAATAGGTATCTACATGTAGAGTTTTACTCTATAACTATAATAGGTATCTACATGTAGAGTTTTACTCTATACTATAATAGGTATCTACAGGTGGCGTTTTACTCTATAACTATAATAGGTATTTACATGTAGAGTTTTTCTCTATAATATAATAGGTATCTACAGGTGGAGTTTTACTCTATACTATAATAGGTATCTACATGTAGAGTTTTACTCTATACTATAATAGGTATCTACATGTAGAGCTTTACTCTATACTATAATAGGTATCTACATGTAGAACTTTACTCTATACTATAATAGGTATCTACATGTAGAGTTTTACTCTGTACTATAATAGGTATTTACATGTAGAGTTTTACTCTATACTATAATAGGTATCTACAGGTGGCGTTTTACTCTATAACTATAATAGGTATTTACATGTAGAGTTTTACTCTATACTATAATAGGTATCTACAGGTGGAGTTTTACTCTATACTATAATAGGTATCTACATGTGGCGTTTTACTCTATAACTATAATAGGTAACTACATGTAGAGTTTTACTCTATACTATAATAGGTATCTACAGGTAGAGTTTTACTCTATACTATAATAGGTATCTACATGTAGAGCTTTACTCTATACTATAATAGGTATCTGCATGTAGAGTTTTACTCTATAACTATAATAGGTATCTACAGTAGAGTTTTACTCTATACTATAATAGGTATCTACATGTAAAGTTTTACTCTATAAATATAATAGGTATCTACATGTAGAGTTTTACTCTATACTATAATAGGTATCTACAGGTGGGTTTTACTCTAAACTATAATAGGTATCTACATTTAGAGAATTACCCTAATTTTAATAGGAATATATCTTGCTACCGTTACAGGTAAGATATACCGTAACTACACCTGCAGTATAATAAACATGTGTTGACCAGATTTCAGTGCGGCCGTTATTGATAGATACTTAGCTTCCTGCTGGCTCCGTACACGTGGGGGGCATGCTAACTCGATCTAGTTGCAAATCTATCTAGGCATAGTATTTTTATCCCAATGGAAATCTTTCTTATATATGTTTTGAGAGTGTAATACACTGCTTTGATTGGCCTGCAGCCAGCTGGACGGGGTTTGTAAACACATTAGGATGTTTGTCAGGTGCATGTTATTTATACCCTCTACATTATTACTCGATTGTACTTTGATGATCTGCTAAAGAAATCTGTCAGGAGATAGGTGTCTTTATATGTAACACATTGGTTCTTGAATTTGGGGTGTATTAGACATGGTAACATACTGCACAAGGAGGGCGAAAGTAATCGCCATTAAAGCCAGCATCCTTATAATACATTTATTGATCATTATTCACACCTGTCAAAAAGTGTCATAAATTCCAACTGTGTTGCTCTGAGCAGGCACACCAAGTTTTATGATTGTTAGCGGTAAACATTTTGACAAATAATTTTTCTTTTTGATCTTGAATTGGGAGATAATTTATATTTATATTTATATATTGTCTGTTATTCGCTCTATTTGACAGCACAATCTATGTTAATAAAAAAAATTGAAATGAAAATGAAACACACCATAGATATACTGTAAACAATTAAAGACTGTTATTGCAGGTCGTATTTGATAACAGTACAATTCCTAGAAGCTATCTAAATTCTAAAGATTTCAGTTATGTACATATATAAACTCAGTCATTATAATTGAAATTGAAACATTATTTAACTTTTGAAAATAAAGGAAATGTTGTTGATTTTTTGCAGATGTTGTTCATTCGTTGGCAAGAGGGGAAGTGGTGCACAAGCAATATCAATAGGGAAAAACTGTGACAAATTTGGAATAGTTGTCCATGAGCTGGGCCATGTCATTGGATTCTGGCATGAACATACACGACCGGACAGGGATGACCACGTACAGATAATATACAAAAACATCATGCCAGGTGAGTTGTGCGATCACAAAATAGAAGTCACATCACAAAGTTCTTAACTCGCATTGCTGGTCATAAAGTTTATACACAATGTTTGTTTTTACTTGTTTTAATACACTTTGTTTACACCGTTGTTTATGGTACGAGATGTAAACTACTTCATCAAATCCAGAAATGATCTTAGCTGTGAAAAGGATACTAAGCCCAACAAACCAAATAATACACGGTTTTCGCTCCCATATTCAAAATCAATATTGCTTACTTCCGTGTTTATCTCCTTTTTTAAAATTGCATATTGTTCACCACTTTCTTAATATCGTATATTGATTGTTCTCTCCTCTAAATCTATATCGTATATTGATTGTTCTCTCCTCTAAATCTATATCGTATATTGATTGTTCTCTCCTCTAAATCTATATCGTATATTGATTGTTCTCTCCTCTAAATCTATATCGTATATTGATTGTTCTCTCCTCTAAATCTATATCGTATATTGATTGTTCTCTCCTCTAAATCTATATCGTATATTGATTGTTCTCTCCTCTAAATCTATATCGTATATTGATTGTTCTCTCCTCTAAATCTATATCGTATATTGATTGTTCTCTCCTCTAAATCTATATCGTATATTGATTGTTCTCTCCTCTAAATCTATATCGTATATTGATTGTTCTCTCCTCTAAATCTATATCGTATATTGATTGTTCTCTCCTCTAAATCTATATCGTATATTGATTGTTCTCTCCTCTAAATCTATATCGTATATTGATTGTTCTCTCCTCTAAATCTATATCGTATATTGATTGTTCTCTCCTCTAAATCTATATCGTATATTGATTGTTCTCTCCTCTAAATCTATATCGTTTATTGATTGTTCTCTCCTTTAAATCTATATCGTATATTGATTGTTCTCTCCTCTAAATCTATATCGTATATTGATTGTTCTCTCCTTTAAACTTTATCTGTTTTCCATGTTAAGATTAAGATGAGTTATCAAGTGTCCCAATATTTGTTTTTATTTCATATGGAACATCCAGGCCAGGAATATAATTTCAACAAATTGACAGAGAGTGAGGTAAATTCCCTTGGAGAGGAATATGATTATGGAAGTATCATGCACTATGCCACGAACACATTTGCTAGAGCAACTTATGTGGATACTATTCTGCCAAGGAAGAAAACGGATGTTTACCCTGAGATAGGACAGAGAGTCCGTCTTAGTCCAGGGGACATAAGGCAAGCCAACAAACTATACAAATGTCAAAGTAAGTAGTGTACTGTCACCTAGCCCTAGTCCATAGAGTAGTGTCTTGTCGTGGTATCTATCCCTAGTCCATTGAGTAGTGTCTTGTCGTGGTATCTATCCCTGGTCAATTGAGTAGTGTCTTGTCGTGGTATCTATTCCTAGGCCATTGAGTAGTGTACTGTCACCTAGTCCTAGTCCATTGAGTACTGTACTGTCACCTAGCCCTAGTCCATTGAGTACTGTACTGTCACCAAGGCCTGTTCCATGGAGTAGTGTATTGTCGTGGTATCTAGCCCTAGTCCATTGATTAGTGTACTCTCACCTAGTCCTAGGCCATTGAATAGTGTCCTGTCGTGGTATCTAGCCCTAGTCCATTGAGTAGTGTATTGTCACCTAGCCCTGTTCCTTGGAGAAGTGTACTGTCACCTAGTCCTAGGCCATTGAATAGTGTCCTGTCGTGGTATCTAGCCCTATTCCATTGCGTAGTGTACTGTCACCTAGTCCTAGGCCATTGAGTAGTGTATTGTCACCTAGTCCTAGTCCATTGAGCAGTGTACTGTCACCTAGTCCTTGTCCATAGAGTAGTGTAATGTCACCTAGTCCTAGGCCATTGAGTAGTGTATTGTCGTGGTATTCTGCCCTAGTCCATGGAGTAGTGTATCGTCACATATCACTAGTCCATTGAGTAGTGTCTTGTCTTGGTATCTATCCCTAGTCCATTGAGTAGTGTCTTGTCGTGGTATCTATCCCTAGTCCATTGAGTAGTGTCTTGTCGTGGTATCTATCCCTAG